CTAAAGAAAGAAACCACAGAGCAGATGACTTCCTCCACGGTCCATGTGAGCATCACATGCAAAGTTCTCAGGGCTCGGGGGAGCAGGGTAGCCCTGTGGTTTTTAACTGTCATTTCAAATGGCCCTCTCCTGCCAAACTGTACATACAGCTTGGTAACGGCCCCAAATGCACTTAGTTTTTTTAGCACTGTGTAACATTTATAAAGATTGCCCAGAGTACGTTGAAGGAATAGTATTGTCACAGTTCCCTAGAACAGGGGTCCCCAACTCCTGGGCCACGGACTGGTACTGGTCTGTGGACTGTTAGAAACCGGGCTGCACAGCAGGAGGTAAGCGGCGGGTGAGTGAGCGAAGCTTCATCTGTCTTTGCAGCTGCTCCCCAGCACGAGCGTCACCGCCTCAGCTGCACCTCAGATCCCCATAGAAGAACTGGTCCCTGGTGCCCAAAATGTTGGGGACCGCTGCCCTAGAGAAATAAAATCTACAGAGCAGGCCAACGATGGTAGAAATCAGCTCCCTGATGCCTGGGATGATTTCAGAACCCTTATGTCCTTCTTCCTGTCCTGCGTGGTGTCTTTATACACACCAATCATCTCATACAGTAGCCCTGGGCTCAAATTATACTTGACAGCAAAAAGACCTGCTCCTTGCATGATCAATGTTTTTGAGAACAGACAAACATTCAACTCCAATTCCAGGCATGTTAAACTACACAATCGAAAATCAGTTTTGGAACCACGATTCTGGCAAACAATTGCATATACATCATGCCTGAACTGGAAGACCACACGTCACACTGACGTTCGCCCTCGAAGTGAAAGAGGAAAGGAGGAGAAACTTACACTACTATCATCCATTCTCTCGCGCCTTTTAGATTTGTGTGTCTCATAGTCTTCCATGAGGGTCTGCATCAGATTCTTGGGCCGCTGGGATCCGGCAGCCTCTTCAGGGGCTAACTCAGGCTGCGAGCTGGGGCCTTCAGGTGTGGGGGATGGAGGAGGTCTGACTTTCTCTATTTTCCCTGAAACAATATGAAGAGAACACCCTTTCTAAGCTTGTCTGCTCATGACTGCTTTCAGAAACAAGAGAAAACTGGCAAAAAAAAGCAACTTCTGACATAGAGAGTGGTACCAGAACAATGGTTAAGTGCAGCTCATTTTATCACAGGGATCAAAGCACTTGTGGATAATGTCATAAACCCATCCAACAAGGACCGCAAGGAAACCAGTGCTAAAAAGTCAGACCAAAGAAGCTTGTCAGGTGCTCTGCAAATATGTTAGGCAGATAGATGCTGGCTCCAATTGTGTTAGGGATATGTATTCTATCACAGATCATAGAATTAGACTGTCAGAGGAGGTGGCGCCTTTGAACCTTAGAGACTCACTTCTTACAGATGAGGAAAACTCTTCTATGAAGAGAAGGGTGTGCTGAGGTCACTGGAAGCCAGTGAGGGGACCCAGGTCTCCTGGTTTCCTCATTAGGTTCTTTGTTCTCTCTCAAAGGCCACCAACTATCACCTGACCTGCCCAGGCTTTTGGCATGAACAGCAATTGTTGGTAAAACCTTTGAATGAGAACTAGGTTTGTTCTTCTTACGTAGGCCAGCCGCATTCATTTACCTTACCTGCCATGGTCCTGAAGGCATTTGGGTTTGATGCTCCCCGCCAAACCTTACAGAATGAATGCCAACAAAGGCAGCTTTGGTGTTGTAGAAAAAGTGTGCCCTAGGCTTGGGAAAGGTGAGAGTTTAGCTTTGGATATGACTTACAGGGATTCTCAGATAAGGAGATCAGGTCCATGGTGGCAGGGGTACGGTGACTCTAAGCACTTTCGCTAAGACCTTCTGCATCTCTCCGTCTGGGGCAGTGCCTGCCTCTGACTTCTAGCCTATCAAAGGCTGGGGTTTATTGCCAGAGAGCCCCAAACGCACCTCTGAGGAGTTTCTTTAGGGGCAACAGTCATGATTTTCCCAACTATGCTCTTGTGGGAGACAAAGGGTCTACGAACAAGGAACGTGGAAAAACACACAATTCAAACCCAAAGTTTGGCAACTGCAGAGGGGAGACTAAAGCCCCATCTGACCCCTCCCAGTCCCAAGGTGAAGGTGACTCGTCTGTCTTTCTTCATCTTACCCCCCAGACTTTATAACTTGGCAACTGCCTAATGTAGCTGGACTCACTAGTGAAGCCGAGGGTCCACGTCCCCCTGTGGGCTGCTATGGCTCCTTTCTGGGCACAGCAGCTCCTTTTGACGGGAGCTGGAAACCCCTCTGGGGTTCAGGAAACTCAGGTTTTAATTTCTGCTCCTCCTTGAACTAGCTATGTGGTTGGCTACAGACAACCACTTAATGTTTCCACTTTAACCTTGGGCCAATCACTGAAGTTCTCTGAGCTTCAACTTCCCTGGTTATTGAATGAGAATTCTCGGAACAAGTTGTCTTTGAGGTCCCTTCTAACTCAGACATTTTGCTATTCTATCAAATACCTTTGGCAAGAAGATCTACTTTACTGATTAAAAACGAAAAGCATATTGCCATCACATGTGGCGATTAGGTGGGAAGTTCTTTTTAATATGCAGAACAGGGCACTCCATCTGCAAGAGCCACCATTACATCAGTAACTTAGGGAAACTCATTGCATGGAGCTAAATTACTCAGCTCATTAAAAAACGTCTTTTGATATTGACAGTAAGGTAAAAAATATTTCAAAATCCCCATATTCACCAACGATGATTTTATTTTTTTAACAATCTCATACCTCTGGTAATATCACCTCTGCATACTTAATATACATCTCTAAAATTTCAGATTGATTTTTTAAATGAAGGTTTTGAAGAGCACAGGGGTGAGCATGCAAGGCCCTGGAGCCAGCCTGCTTGGGTTTGAATCCACAACCTACTTAGCAGACAAATAACCTCAGGCAAATTACTTCCTGTTTTTCTATCTCAGTTCCCTCATCTGTAAAATGGGTATGATTATAGAGGCACCAATCTCATACAGTTGGTGTAAGGACTGAGTTAATATTTATAAAGTTAATATTTAGAAAAGCAAGCATCTAACTTACCTAGTTACTATTTATTCGGAATTTCAAAGAATATGTCTATAGAACGAGAATGAGCAATTCCATGGGTATTCTGCATAAAATTTTTGCAGTTCTTCCAGAACTAGAAATGAACACCAAATTGACGAGGCTAGTCATCATTATTTTCCAACTGACCTCTCAAGTATCCAAATCATCTCCTACCAGTTAGTTACTCCTCTAGCATTAAACGTCTAGAAAGCGTAGTGTATATTCCCTGCCTACACCTCCACCCTCTCACACATGCTACAGTACGTCCCCTGCTTCATAGCACTTCGTTCATACGTCTGTGAAAGCCTTTTCCACACACTGCTTTGTATCATATCTGGATGTTTAAGCTTCTCTTCTTAATGAAGCTGTAAAGTCATCTGAGGATAGGGACCATTTCAATCATCTATGAACCCCTTAGTTCATTTGGATATAAACTCCATTAACGCAAGACCTTGTCTGTCCTGGTCACTGCTGGATCCCAGCACCCACTTTGGTATTTGGCACAAGGTAGAAGCTCGAGTTTGTTGAATGAACCAGTAAGTATATTATGAAATACACATAGCAGCCACTTATTAAATACTTGTGAATTGGGATAGAATTCCCAACAGAGAATCTGAGGCAAAGCCTTTAAATGTCTTCCCCGAAGCACATGAAATAAAACAATCTTGGTCCACAGAATTGCAGACTCAATGGCTTTGTAGTCATAACAAGCACATTTATATGGCATTTCATTTACAGGCTTCACATCACTTGATCCTTACAACCACTTTGGGATGTAGTCAGCATGGATGTCATGACACCTGTGAACAGTTTTGATTACAGAGGCTCAGAGGCTGATGCAAGCCCAAGTTACATTAGCTAGTAACAATCAGAGTCTGGAACCCAAAATGTCTTGATTATGGCTCAAAATTTTATGGTGGGATATAGGCTGAAAGGGAAGTGTAAAGAGCCTAAAGGGTTAATACACAGCTGTGGTCAACCATGAAACATTACAGACATTTCCCGGTTATTTATTTCTTCATATTCTATGCAGCAAAACAACCCATCCCTGGAGCAAGTTTCACCGTTTACAGGCACTAGAGGTCGCATGAGTGACAGGAAAGAAAGCCTGGCCTAGCAGGAATAGAGCAGCTGCTTCCAAAGAGAGGGTGGCTGAGAGGTTTGGGGAGGAACAGGGGTTTCGGATAACCAAGCCCCTGGCTGAGCCTCAGGAGAAGCTGTCACGTGTCCGTAGAGGAAGGAGACACTGTGCCCCATCCCTGGACTTCTGGCCATCAGTCCAGTTGGTATCGGGAAAGTCAGCTTGGTCAGGCTTCTCTGCTGGGCCCTGCGATCTCCAACCAGCCTCCCCCGCTTCCCCCTCTCCCAGTATGATTCGGACCATGCACTATTAGGATTCCTATTAGGAATCACACAGACTGCTGAAAAGCTGAGGAGGGGCCTGTTCCACACTCAACGTCTTCCTCAGAAGTCCAGTTTGCAAACAGTGGTCCTCAGAATTAGGATATTGAAAAAACTTCTAATGATCCTCCCCAAGTGGTGGGCACTAATTGTAAATAATTAGACGCCTCAGGGATCATGAATGGGATGTGAACTGTCTGTGCCACAGGCCTGGAAAGTCCATCTCATCCTTGTCTCTGGCCTTGTAAGCCCCCTTGAAATTACTTGGACATACCCTGTGAGAATCACCCCAAAATGGTGCTCATCTGTGGAGCTCACGGGCATGCATCTCACCCAGTACCCCCAGGTTCCATCCCCACCTGCCTCATCCAGACTTGCTCCCATATGTGCTGATTCACCTGGTGAATGATTGAAGAGCTGATGACAGCTGAAAGTGACCTCTATTTCTGCTGATAAACATTCTGCTGTTTAGTTTCTCACCTGGCTGCACACACTACAAAACAACTCTCTAGAAGGTCTCCAGTCCCTGGGAGACGACTTGAACTGAGAATGCGATGCAGATCTCAGAGCAGATCAGAATTTTTTTCTTTTAAGGATTATTAGCCATGCTAATAATAAGAGAAGTAAGAGAGCTGCTTGCTTGAACTGTCATGGACTAGGCAGGCCCAGAGGCCTTTCCATCTCACCAGGCGGCACACACCCAGGAGAGCCGATGAGCTGACACTTCTCCAAGGCCTTAGAAAAGCACCGGTCACATCTGCGACAGCGGCACTCACAGGCTGTAGCATTGTGAGGCAGACGAAGGAGCAGAGCATTTTACTCCAAATCAGTAAATACTGTTTCCCGTCGTAAGTGGAAGAGAAAACTGGGATACGTGGATTTATATTTCCCATTTATTTATTATAAATAATTAAACTAGTTTCTGGGCCAAAGAAAGAAAACCATGCTTTGGCTGCATTTCTGGATTTTCCGAGCAAGATGGATTTCCCTTGGGGCATCTGTGATGACAGGCTGTGCTGCCCGGGGCAGAGACAAAAATCTGTAATTCCTCCCACCCAAGAGAACCTAGGCAAGGGCTGCAAATCCTCAGAACACAGCTGTTGCCATCCATGACAGTCCAAACCCTCCTTCTGGAGAAACGGGACCCAACTCTAAAAAGCCAAGAATATGGGTTCCACAAGTTTAGAAAATGAATTTGGTTAAACATTGTGATTTTGATGACTATTCCATGCCATGTACATAGTGTCTGATGTCTTAAATGAAAGCTCCTTTGTTTCTACTTTTTTTTTCCCCCCAAAAGAAAAAGCCAGCACCCACTGTTATTTAAAAACCTAACCAAAACAAAGAAAAACGCCCACCAGGTGACACGCCTTGGCCCAGACCCCCTTCGAGGGCCTTTCTTCACTGGCACTGGGGTGAGGTTGCAAACATCAAAAACAACTCACCGGTCACTGAAATGAGCTCAGAAAGAAATGAGCTCATACTTGCATTTTCAATTTCCTCCCAGTACGAGGGAATATCCTGCTGTCAGACCCAGAGTGTAAGGGCTTGTG